CCGGGCCCAAAGATTTGCAAAAAAAGCCCGCCCGGGCCCGGCCCGGAACCGGAATCGGACCGTCCCAGGTCCATCACTAATCGTGAGGTTAGTCATATCTCACGGGATAAACCATATCTCACCAGGCTCAATAAGATCTTGTGAGATTAAATTTACATCTCATGTGATAAATCATACATTCATACCTCATGAAAAAAACATATCTCACGGCATTAAACATATCTTGTGATATCTTGTGAGATTAACCATTTTTTGTGAGATAACATTAGTTCATGTGAAAACCTATGTTGCGGGATGTTTATCTCGCGAGAATGACCATATCTCATGAGATTAACTATATTTTATGAGATTCAATAAGGTATTGTCGGAAAATCCAAATATATTGTGTTAGATTAATCATGTCTCGTGATCTAAATCATATCTTGCATGATTAACCATATCTAGCGAAATAAAATGTATATCGCGATGTTGTGAGAATGATCATACCTCGTGAGATTAATCATATCTTGTTGGTTAAATAAAGTTTCTGGTGAGTAAACGATATATTGTTAGAAACACACATGAGATAAATCATATCTCACAAGATTGACCACATATCGAGAAGTTCAATAAACTACCAAAGTCTCTTGAGATAAACATTTGAACATCTATCTCGAGATTCTATAAAAATTTCGTGACATTAAACAATATATTGAGATATAAACTACATCAACAAGCTATAATATTATCATATCTCATCTTGCGATAATTATATCCTATTAGATTCACTAATATCTCGTGAAGTTACCTATGTCCGCAATATTAGTCATATCTCGCGTGATTCAATGAAGTGTGGAGAGATCAATCATATCGACTTATTATACTATGTACATACTTTCCTGTTAAAGTCTTTTATTATTTCTTAAACCTATTACACATTCTAACATTCAAATGTCAAATGGGATCAAAACATTCAAAGGAAACTAGATTATTAGAATAGGCCATAAAATATGTATTAGGCAAGACAAAAGAGATAAACTAGATTACTAGATTACATATTTGGAATTAATAAGAAAAGTAGTTGAGATATCAAACATTCAAATTATATAAGAAAACCATTCATATTAACATGAGAATATAATTCATTCCAAACCATGTTGGATGAGAAAACTTCTGCAATAGAAGACTACAAAGATTCATGCCTAATTTTTATTTACAACAAGATTCATACATAAATATGAAGCAAGTCTTTACGAATGCAGAATTGCAGATTATATCACATCTTTTCAAACGAAGATCAGGTTTTAAGCCTTTAAGGGACTATAAATGCTTTTGCACTTGGGGTTTTGCAATGACCTTTAAAAAAAGGCATTATCAATGTAACCTCTTTCCCATATTGTCATGTGACTCATGTCTGACAATAAACTCCTTTTTGACACAAGGTATTAGAGGACACCGTTATTAACGAAACATTTAACTTTTAAAATAAAGCTTATTTTAGAAAATAAACTATAGAAAATATTTTGTGGTTAAAAATGCCAACCTCCTAACAACATATACTTCGTACTTCGTATTTAGTTGAAAGCTTATTGTACTAATATGAAGTTATTGTAACAAAAAAATACTACACTACTACTCTTCACAGCTTACTAAGGGATACTTATTAAGACTTGCGCTAATAAACGGTGCGTAAAATAAGCAGTGGTATAAGCTCATGTTTACTTCACATGATTTAGAACACTTTTAACATTAAAATGTCCAAAATAATCCTATGCATATTTAAACACAAAAACATTCATGTATACAATAGTATATACATAATACACGGGGCCCTACCCCCATATTGCTCCCCTACCACCATACCCCTAACCCCAACCCCTCAATGCTCATACCCCTAGCCCTACTCGTACCCTACCCCTTACACCTACCCATATCCACTCCAAACCACCCAACCCCTACCACGACCCAAAGTCCCAAACCCTACCCTGCCCTACCCTTACCTCGGGGGGGCAAGGTATGGTTAAGTATGGTGGGTAGGGTAGGTGGGATACATGGGCTAGGGGTAGGGTTAGGGTCGGGGTCGGGGTAGGGGTGGGAAAGGGGGTACGAATACGACAGACGAATAGGGATGGGGATGGGGTATGAGGACATGTAGGGGTAGGGGTAGGGGTAGGGTGGGGTTTGGGTAAGTACGGTACGGGTGGAGTAGGGGTGGGGGTGGGGTGGGTAGAGGTAGGGTAGGGTTGTGATAACATTAAGCGGTAAGGGTAAGAGTAAATTCGAAAATTGAAAAAGTTTAAAGTGGTGCTTAATTAATAAATGAGAGGTATGCTTAGTAAGCAGTACTTTAAGCACATGTTTGTGTTAGTAAGCAGTTTTTAAGCAGTTTATATGTTTACTTCACCCGTCTTACTAACGTAACTGGGACTTTAGTAAAGAATTTAACACGTCCTTGGTATCTCGTTGAATCTTTTTATAATATGATGTTATTGTAACCAAAGAAAAGATGACACCTCATCCTTGAGACCGCATCAACACCCGAACAATTATTAAGAGAATGTAAATTGGATTTTAATGATAGAATTCAATATATTGAATGTAGCTTGTAAACCTTATCTTATTATTCTTTTGTGACCAAGTGACCAACCTTATGTTTAGAGGAGTGTTGAGGGGTACGCAAACGAGGATCTACGAATGAGTTATGTTTGGATGGAACCCAAAGTAACTTAAATTTTTTGCATTTTTTTAGTGTAATTTTTTCCATTTTTCATATTTAGTCCACCCCGATAATTTTTAAGCATAGTCCAATTAAAAACATTAATAAACTCAATACACATACAATAAGTACAAATATACCACTTGCATGATATTTTTAAGTGATAAAAAAACATATCCTTAAATATATTCTATCTGTATTAAATAATACGGAGTATATAATGAGTTATGTTTGGATGGAACCCAAAGTAACTTAAATTTTTTGCATTTTTTTAGTGTAATTTTTTCCATTTTTCATATTTAGTCCACCCCGATAATTTTTAAGCATAGTCCAATTAAAAACATTAATAAACTCAATACACATACAATAAGTACAAATATACCACTTGCATGATATTTTTAAGTGATAAAAAAACATATCCTTAAATATATTCTATCTGTATTAAATAATACGGAGTATATGATTAGGAAGAAAATAGGGAAAGTTCCCGAAATAAGATTAAAACAGTTTCAAAATTCCAAAATAAGACTGTCATTTTTTTATTCCTAAAATAGGACTAATTACTGTCATGTTCGAAGTTTGGTACTGCCAAAACATGGCAGTAATTAGACCTATTTTGGGAATAAAAACATGACAATCCTATTTTAGAATTTTCAAACTGTTTTAGTCCTATTTCGGGTAATATCTCAAGAAAATATTAGTACAATCGAGTGAAGATTGTTTAGTTTTGAATAAAGTAAAGGCGTAAAGCCCTATTTGATCAATTATATTTTAAATTTATTAATCATTTTTTGGGCTTATGTCAACAATGTTATTAAAAATGAGTTATGAACAAAAAATGACATTTTTTAAATTTCAAAAAATGAGAATAAAAATGTAATATCATTCTTTTTAATAATATTACAATTCTTTGTTTTATTTCATTTTTTCTTACTTTCAATTCTATTTAATGCAGTTTAAAAGAAATTTTATCAAAATCAAAACAAGTTGCATATAATTCAATGTCAGCGGTGGCGGAACCAGGACTCGTGACTCGCAGGAGCACAATAACAAAGAAATGATATACTAGTCTAGAAAAAAATCATATGCATCACGAGTATAGCAATAAACAAAACTATAAAATTTAAATAAAACCACTGTTTTTGGAATGATCTGTTGCACCCATTAAAATCACTTTGTGGAAATTTAAAGTCACGCAGTTGGCAAGGACCTTTTCTCAAATAACGTCTCCTCAACTCATCTCTAATATTAACATCATAAGTCTCAATCGGCATAACTTTTATGTCCATCACTTTTCTGTCCGAACGCCGTCCGAACACCGGCGTTTTGGGCGGTTCCCGGCGGAATATTTTGATGAAAATTTTTGAACATGTTCCTCATCAAGTCTAGTTTATTCATACCAAACCTCAGCTCAAAATTAGTTCGAGAAGGCAGTCAAATAATTCGTTGAAGTTAACTGCGCCAAATTATACATAGAAAAACGCAGTTAACTTCAACGAATTATTTAACTGCCTTCCCGGTCGAATTTTGACCTGAAATTTGGTACGGATAAACTAGACTTGATGAGGAACATGCTCAAAAAAATTCATCAAAAAATCCACCTGAAACCGCCCCAAACGGCGGTGTTCGGACGGCGTTCGGACCGAGAGGTGCTGGACCTAAGAATTTTCCAATATATATATATATATAAATCATCGCAGGGGCACGGGCACCCCCTAGCCCTAGGGTGGGTCCGCCCCTGAATGTCAGTGGGGATATTTGATTAATCCAAACCAATACCGATATGCCCACTAAAAAGGGGGAAAAGGTCAGATAAGTTCTCGAACTTTCATAAAAATGTCAAATAAGGTCTTATATAGGAGACTTTGTGTGGTCGTCACCATTTGGGGTGATTTCCGGTGGAAGTTTTTGATGAATTTTTTTTAGCATCTTATTCATCAAGTCTAGTTTACTGTTACCAAATTTCAGCTAAAAATTCAATCAGGAAGGCATTCAAATTAATTGTTGAAGATAACTGCGAAGATGCATCCTTCTCTCCGGTATGAAGTTAAAAGCGCAGTTATCTTCAAGAATTAATTTGAATGCTTTCCCGATTGAATGTTTAGCTAAAATTTGGTATGAGTAAACTAGACTTAATGAATAAGATGTTCAAAAAAAATCATTAAAAACTTCCACCAGAAACCACTTCAAATGGTGATGATTAGACAGAACATCCTACATAAAGTCTTATTTGACCTTTTTATGAAACTTGTAGGACCTATCACTTTTTTTCCCTAAAAAAACACCATTACTTTTGCCAACAGAGGACAGATATTGCAATGAGATGCTGACGTATCTTGCCATTTTCTACAAAGCTTTGCTTTGAGCTTTCTTTGGTTTCGCATTTCCAAGCACTTTGGTGGGGAGAGAAAAACTCAGCACCAGCAAAAGACCGGAATATCCCCTTTTCCGACTGTGAGTTTCTCTCTGAACTTACAGATCCGCCCCGATGGCCGATCATACCGGAGAGAAGGATGCATCGACTTTATTGAAGGAGGAGAAGATCGAAGAAAGATTGCACGTCAGCGGGTCTTCTTCGTCGTCCTCTTCAGACTCTGAGGACGAGCGTGACAAGAAGTCACCGGTTCATGCCGTTAATGCGCCTAAGACCCATCGCCTATTCGGCCGTGAGAGATCCGTGCACAAGGTTCTAGGCGAAGGAAAAGGTACGGTTCACAGAAATCTCTCTGAACTAATTTGCGACTATATTTAATGTATGTATATAATTATATATTGCAAGTATATATTTCCCCAAGCACACACCCATTCGGCCATTCCTACAAATTCAAAGGCTATATCCATTAAGTATTACTGAGGATTTACTTTCTCTCTTTTGTTTCTTTTGATTGCAATTGCACTCCTTGGGAGAAGGATCACATACCAATGTCTCACTAATTCACCTGAAAACAATGAAATTTACTCAGGCTCTCTGTCTCTCTATTTTCTTTCATAAAAATTTTACTCTTAATTACGGACTAAGGAGGATGGAAGTATATCTGGTTTCACCTGAAAGTTTTAGGGGATTTAACTATTGAATCTAATTTGGTGCTTTTTCCTATTTGTCACTTGTATGGTTTGAATGATTAATGATGTTAAAGGTGTGATATTTTCAAATTTGCTCTCTTGATCTTGAAACTTTTTTGTGTCACGCAATTTAAGTTAGGGTTAATGTGATAGGATGGAGAAGATGATCTCACCAAGAAGGCTTACACAAGTTTGATATTTTTAGTTTTACTTGAAAACTTAAGGGGTTTAATGATTGGAATTTAATTCATCTGAGCTAGTTTTATGATTGCACAGTTGGACTTCAGTCCTCAAGTACACTTCAATTTAGATAATACTACGTACTTCTTCTCATCATGACACATTTACTTTGTGAAGAAGGTGACTGAGAGAGCATACTCTGTGGAGCTAGTATTATGTTTTAAGTAGGGGTTACACCACCTGATGAGGAAGGGGTCAATATCTGTATACACCTTCTTTTATAGAATTAGAAAGTACTATGTATATAATTTCTTAATTTTGACCCTCTTTGAGTTAACCGTCTTCCTATCATCTATTTAGTAGATGATCATAAAACTTAGCAAAAGAAGAAAATGTTTAAAAACAATTAGCAAAAGGGAAACAATTAGCAAATGAATAAAAACATTACTGTAGTTTTAGAGCCCGTTTGACAGCACTGAAGTTGGCTAAATCTACTTAAATTGGTGAAGTTATGGCTGAAACGACTGAATTGGTTGAATCTTCTAAATTTTGAAAACTACTCCCTTCGTCCCATTAGAAGGTTCTCACTTTCCTTTTTTGGACGTCCCATATAAAGGTTCCCATTTTCATTTTAGGAAACAATTAACACTCTTAAGTGATAAATTAATCATTAAATTTTAAAAATAATACATTTATAACATCACAGTTATCAATACTAACTACATTAGAATATATACCTATTAAAATTATTTCTCAAAATATACCCGAAGTACTTTATTTAGTTATTGCCTAAATAACTGTGCCGTTTTGCTATGGGAACCTTCCAACGGGATGGAGATAGTATGTTTAAAATATATTTCATTAATAAAATAAAACAAAAATTATATGAAAAGTAGCTAAAAGTCAAAGTTTTAAAAAGGCTAGTTCGGGTATCAAGGAGGTTTGTTTCGGAGAGGCGAGACATGAGCCTAAAAATATACAACATATAAAACTTATAATTATTAAATTACTAAAAACCAACTAATGATATGCATAATTATAAGTCCAAAAAGTCTCAAACACAAAGTCATTATATGATCACATATTCACATCATCAAACATTATAATTCAAAATGAGAATCCCAAATTTCCAACCCACAATCAAACACATCACACAAATGATGCAATGGGAGCTTATTCACCATATCTTATAGCATTATCGCCATCATTATACCTTATGACCTTAACATCATCCTCCCTTCCATCATTACTATCAAAATCCTTCCCATTCTTATCATTGCGTAGGAGTATAAAAATATATTGACGAATTCACTCTCCAGACTTGTTAGGGTTAGAAAGTATATACGGGAACACATGTTATGTATGTTTTGTTAAATAAAATTTACTGGGCCTAAAAGTTACAACCATGGTAAAAAGAAACAAACAAAGAAATCCCGCTTCATAAAACGCCTCGAGGCATGCTTCAAGGTATACACCCTTACTGTTGAGGCACAAGCCTCTTATCTTGCAAAAACACCTAAGCCTCAATACACAATCTATGTGTCTTACATTGAGGTGCACCTCAAAACCCGCCTCATAACCGCTTTTTTAAACCATGAAGATAATCCTACTCACCAATTTTAGCAAATTCAGTTAGAAAAGCAACTCCAACCTTACTTATTTTGTTTATTACACAATTCAACGCGTGATATCGAAACTTGCATGCTTGGTAAAAAAGTTGGCCGATAAGGTTGATAAGCCGAAATTTAGTTACCAAACAGAATCTTAATCTTGTGTTTCACTTTTCATTTCTCATTGTGTGTCACCTTTCCTGATTGGCTAGTTATATTGATTGCTCCTTAACTTTTTAGAGTGCTGACAACATTTATAACAAGTATTCTATATTGAATAATCTTAGTAAATCACACCCAAATTTGGCATAAAAAGCAGGAGAAGAGAGGTGAACTTGTTATTTTCATGTTTAATTTATGTCCCCGCCCCCTCGCCCCCAGTGTGTTCGTTTATTTATGAACTTACAATGCAGTTATTACACTGCAGCTGCTGATATTTTCCTGTGGAGGGACAAGAAAGTTTCCGCTGCTGTCCTTAGTTTTGCCACTTCTATTTGGGTGCTTTTTGAATTGCTGGAATACCACTTACTCACACTTGTATGCCATGTTTTGATTCTTTCTCTAGCAATATCATTCCTATGGTCAAATGCATCCACATTCATCAACAAGTATGCTCATAATCCTCATCCAATATAAATTTCCTCTCTCCATATATGATATCATTTGAGTTCATCTCTTCATTCTCTTGACTTTTTTTATCAGATCCCCACCCCAAATCCCAACTGTCATTCTTCCTAAGGATGTTGTCCTTGGTGTTGCTTCTGAACTGAGGACTGAGATCAACCGAGCTTTGGCTATCCTTCGAGACATTGCATCTGGAAAAGAGTTGAAGAAATTTCTTGTTGTACGTTTCTAGTGAAAGCTCTGTGATATTAAGCCGCCTTTGATTTTGCACTTGAGCAATTATCTAGTTAATTAAATGATATTATTCTATGTGCAGGTCATTGCTGGCTTGTGGATTTTGTCAATCCTTGGGAGCAGTTTGAACTTTCTCACTCTATTTTATATAAGTAATGACTGACATTTATTTGGTGTATATGTTTATTTTATTTATTTATGAGCTCTAAGATATTTATAATAGTGTACTGACTTTCCCACAGTTGCTGTGCTGCTGCACACAGTTCCTGTTCTGTACGAGAAGTATGAAGATCAGGTTGATGCTTTTGCTGAGAAGGCTGGGGAAGAGTTCAAGAAGCAATATGCTAAGTTTAATGAGAAAGTTCTCAGCAAAATTCCAAAACGCTCCTTGAAGGACAAAAAACTTGCTTAAAGGACTTGCTTGTTTTACATGGAAGCTTCTTCCTGAGTGTTGAGATGTTTCATTTGAAAGCCGTTTTTACCTGTCATCCTGACGATGTGTAAGCTTGTTTTCCTTGGACATTTGTTTTACCATGTTCTTGACAGTCTTAACTGCCAGTGCCTGTTAACTGGAGATAGCATGTTGTATTTTATACTGGCGTTCTGTTTGTGCCTCAGAGTTGAGGTTTGTAGTTGTGTATGTGGACAAAAGTTATGACATATGTAGGGAGTTTTGGAGAAAGAATAGACACACTCACACACCCCTATTGTTTGTGCTTCAGAATTGAGGTTTGTAGTTTTTTATGTGGACAAGAGTGACGTTATATGTAGGGAGTTTTGGAGAAAAATAGACACACTCACACACAGGCATGGACTCGGGCCGGGCCTGACCGGGCTTTTTTCTGGATTCTTGAGGCCCGGAACCGGCCCGGGTAGCTACCGGGTCCGGTTCGGGCCGAGCCTCGGGCTGGCTATTTTTTTGATTTTCTAATTACTTCCTACCCCCTCCCCACCCCCCACACCCCAAACCCCTCCAAAACACCCAGCACAACCCATTTACATCCCAAAGATGTTGAAAAACAAAAAAATGGCCCGGACCGGGCTAGTTCATGTTTTTGAGACCCGGAGCCCACCCTGAAACAGTACCGGGCCGGGTGGCCCGAACCGGGCACGGACCCGGGTACTGGGCCGGGCTGGTTACGGACCCAGCCTGAGTCCATCCCTACACACACCCCTAGATTGTATGTAAGGAACAAATGCACCACTCAACATTTTTGGAACAATTAACATTGAAGTTGTAAATCTAGAACAAATGTCTTATGTTCAAGTAGTTGAAGGGTACATATGGTCTTTGATATTTGTCAAGGACTTTTGTTCCCATTTTACAACTTTTGAGTTTAATTGTTCCAAAAGAAGGCTGAGGCTTGAGGGGTATATATGTTTTTTAACATATAATTCGGAGATATATCTGTTCTGTACATTATATATAAACAAATTTTTATATGCAAAAAATAGAGGGGCGGTCCGGGCCCATTCTATGCATTTATGCATTATTTTTAGATTGCATTTGTTTACCTCTTATAGTAGTCTTATCAAACTAGACCTTTGTCCAGTGACAATTGAGTTTGTGGTAAAGTAGAAAGATTCTCATAAGCAGGTGTTCGTTTAAAGTAATGTTCTGGTCTCTGGGCGTAGTTTAGGGGTGGGTTGGTATTCTACCCAAAATCAAATGCCCGGAGTAGGGATGGACTCGGGTCCGGGCCGGGTCCGGGTCGGGCCTAGGCCCAGGCGGGCCGGCGGTTCAGAAATGGTGGACCCGGGACCGGACCGGGTAACAACCGGGTCCGGGCCGGGTCCGGGCCCATTATCATTTTTTTTTGTTTTCCTCTTCCTAATTAACCTAGTGGTGGACTCGGGCCGGGCCAACCGGCCCGGAACCAGACCGGACCGGCTCGGAACCGGACCGGCCCGGCCCGCTACTGTGCGGGCCCGGACCGGCCCGGTTTGTCGGTTAGGTCACGGTTCGGGCCACCCGGCCCGGTCATGCAGCGGTTCGGGCCCGGGCTTATAATTTTGTGAAACGGCTCTATAGCCGTTGGGAGCATAGGAGGGGGGGTCTGGGGGTTAGGGGGGGGTGGGGGTGGGGGTGGGGTATACAAAAAAAAACCTATTTATACTCCTATTTTCTATACATTTTTTACACCTCTTCTTCTACAACTCTTCCTACTCTCTAAAATCTAAATTCTCTATTCTCTTAATCTCTCATATTCAATCATCTTCATTCTTCATCTTCTCCAAATTCTTTCTACATATATATAATTTATATAATTATTATATCTACTTATATATTATAATATTAATTATCTACTTATAAATATATACTTATACACATTCATATTATAATTCTTTACGCATTATATTATATACTATATATTGTTATACATTATATTATATATTACTTATAATATATTTACACATTATATATTTATATATACTATATATAGTTATACATTATATTATATATTACTTATAATATATTTACACATTATATATTTATATATACTATATATAGTTATACATTTGATTTATATATACACTTCTCGTTTATCTATGTAATTACTTAATTGTTTCATTTGTCATATTAATATTAGTTAAACTACTTAATTGTTACATTTCTCATATTAGTTAATTAGTTAATTGCTACATTTTTACATTTCTCATATTAGTTAATTGCTACATTTGTACATTTCTCATATTAGTTAATTAGTTAATTGCTACATTTTTACATTTCTCATATTAGTTAATTAGTTAATTGCTACATTTTTACATTTCTCATATTAGTTAATTAGTTAATTGCTACATTTTTACATTTCTCATATTAGTTAATTAGTTAATTGCTACATTTTTACATTTCTCATATTAGTTAATTGCTACATTTGTGCATTTCTCATATTAGTTAATTAGTTAATTGCTACATTTTTACATTTATCATATTAGTTAATTAGTTAATTGCTACAATTTTACATTTCTCATATTAGTTAATTGCTACATATCTCATTAAAGTAAAAAAAAAACTAGTTAATTTTTACATTTCTCATATTAGTTAATTAGTTAATTGCTACAATTTTACATTTCTCATATTAGTTAATTCCTACATATCTCATTAAAGTAAAAAAAACTAGTTAATTTTTACATTTCTCATATTAGTTAATTGCTACATATCTCATTAAAATAACAAAACTAGTTAATTTTTACATTTCTCATATTAGTTAATTGCTAATATTTGTTCAATTTTAAAGATGGAGCGTGGTAGACATTCTGTAGATGTGGGTAATCTCCAACGCAACCGCAAGAGGGAGATTGCATCCACTCGATCTACTTCACGCAAAGGCAAAGGTAAAGCGCGGGCCGAGTCTTCTTTTCAAAGTCGAGATGATTTTGAAACGGATTACCAACGGCGAGATGGTATGATGATGTCCGACGACGAACTACAACACCTATTGTCCCAAAATGATCCACGTTTTGCACAAGAACAACAATTCCCGACAACCATCGATGAAGAGGAGCTCGAGGATGACGATGGGGAGGAGGACGCGGGGGGCGACGGGACTCCGGATGATGAGCAAGAGGACGAGGGCCCTTCAACGACTACAACCAAAATTGGTAAGAAATCTAAATCTGCTTGATGGATAGTCTACCCGGGGGTATATATCCGAAGGGTTATTACGGGGAATAACTTAGAGAGAAGTCAGAGCAAGTAAGTAAAAGTAGAGAGAGAGTGTATTCAGTATGAATGCCGTTTTCAGCGTGGTTACAAATGAGGAAATGGGGTGCTATTTAGAGTAGCAATAAATGCCGGGCAGGGACACGTGTCAAGCGCTCATTGGCCGAGGGGTCACCTCAACTGGTTGGCGCTGGCAGCCGCATGTGGCCGCATTTAATGCGGCTGTTGGATGGGACGTCTGTGCGGGGTACGGTGATCTGTACGCATGTGAGGCGGATATCTTGTCGAGTGAGATGCCTTCGGCTATAGAGCAGTAGCCGAGGGCTCTTCCGCCCGATGGCACCCTGGTGCCGAGGGCTACTGTTTTCGCCGTTTTTCTCCCAGTTTCTTAATTTGCTTGAGAAACCCGTTCTGTGAGAATTTGGAGCCTTCGGCCAGGGGGCCGAAGGCACCCCTGGCGCGTTGTGCGGACTGCTTGGTACTCTGGGCGCTGTGATTTGGGCTTGTTGGACCTGTTGGGCCTTCGCTGGAGTAGTAGGAGTCTGTGGACCGGGGGTTCCCGGGCCATATACTCCATCAGGAGTCCCTCACTCCTTTTGCCGAAAGGTACTTGAGGGAAAAAGGAGTAATTTGTGCTTGCCCTTTGATGTTGTCCCGTCGTGATCTCTGAAGTTGGTGAGGAGTTGTTGCTTTTATGTCCCTGCCGAAGGCAGTCCCTCAGTTACCCACATGTCTGGACTTGAGGGCTTGCTTTTTTGTTTGTTGGAATTTCACAAATTTTGTAATTTAATGATTTTCCCAAGGGGGTCCTCCAGTCCCCCACTCCTTGAGGCACTTGTAAAGTGGTGAAAAGGAGTAAAGTAGTTACGTTGCTGTTGTGGGCCGAAGGCTGACGCTTTTTGTTTCATTTTGGGGGGATGCCTCGTTAAAAACCTCATTAGGAAAAACCCTTTGGGAAAAAATCCTAATGAGGGAAAAAGAGTGCACCGAATTCCCCCAATGATGAATCGAAAATGTCAAACCTTGGTAAAAAATGGAGAATGACGGGAATGCCGAAGGCTCACTCTTCTGAGGGCTCCTGTGTTGATTAGCCGAAGGCTTGCTGTTGATGTCCTGGTGGCGCCGAAGGGGAGCCCCTCAATCCAGGGATCGAGGGTCTGCCAGATGAGGGCAACAGTGAAGTTGTTACCGGGGGGTCCACTGTTTGTTGATTAGTTGGTGATGAAGATACCCGAGGGCTCCCATTACCTGGGTGCCATGGGTCATCCGTCAATGAGGCAACTCCCCAGGGGCTACCCGGTTTTGCAGTGCTGAGGGGGAATCCCCGAGGGGTGCCCTGATATGAAGTCCTGGGTTTCTGAAGGAGTGATCCCGAAGGCGTCTGTTATGTGCTGTTTGGGGCATAACCTGGGCACACTTCTGAGTGAGTGTACCCGGGGGCTACCCTTGATGAAGTGGAGTGAAGTGGAAAAACCCGGGGGCTTCCAGAATATAGCCGTTGGAAATATAGCCGTTGGAATATGTAACGACGGGATATAGCCGTTGGGGGGGGGGGGGGGGTGGCACACGTGGCGTGTGATGGCTGGCTGTTCGCGGGAGGCGTCACCGGTTGGGTGAAACGACGGTGTGTAATGATGACGGTCCGTCCGGAGGCCCGGTTTCCGGACCCAAGCCCGGATTCCAGCGCCTATAAATACCCCAAGGCCAGAGCCATTCCCGTTGTGCGAACTCAGTTGTCTTAGCGAAGCTCTGCCAAAACATCTAGTGAGAGAAACTCAAGCCTTCGGTCTTAACTCAGCTTTCGAGGTCAGTGCTCCCTGCCTTTCTCCTTCTAGTATAGCTGTACATTGCGCCCTCGGGTTAGGAGATAGAATTCACTAGAAACCTTAGTTCCCCCGAACCCTCGAGCTAGAGTGTGAATGTCGTCCCAGAGTGATTCTCAAGATATCTCGAGGACGCCCTCGATGGAGGACGAAGGCATCTGCGACGTGGAGTCAAGCAGTGGTCAGCCCTCGGATGGTGGCGATGCAGCCCTCGCCACTGAGGTGCAGAAGGATCTGATGGCCGAGGCCGAGGCGGAGGAATTCGAGCGAACTGTCGAGGATGAAGAGTTGGCCCTCGCCGTCCAAGTTGCTGAAGAGGAGGAGGAAAAGGAGAGGGCGAAGGTCACTGTGGCCGTACTTCCCCCTCGGGGTGCTGGTGAGGCCAGTACTTCCCAGCCGCTGAATGCGGTTCCCATCCGGGTGGCCCCCGGGAAGAAGAAGGCCAAGGCAGCTGTCCCCAAGAAGAAGGTTATTGCTGCTGATCAGGGGAAACCCGTAGATATGCCGGAGGGGTATTCCTGGCTCAACACGGCTGCCTTGGAGATAAAGTCGAAGGCGGACAGGGCAGACCTCTACGTGACGCAGCTACATGTAGGGCCCTCGGCCGAGGTGGTCGAGCCGGGAGTTGACGATGTGCTCTCTCGGGCGCCTGAGGGTGCATTGCAGTACACGTACTGTCGGTCTCCATGGGCCTTCGGTTCCCTCTGCACCCCTTCCTCCGGGAGTACCTGAGGTTCGTTGGCTTGGTGCCCTGCCAGCTGACACCTAATAACCACTCCTACGTGGCGGGTTTTTTAAACCTCTGTAGGGACCGAGGGGTGACCCCCAGCCTGGACTTGTTCTTCCAGAGCTTCAATCTCTGTCGAGGGGGTCACGCGAATGCCGAGGGCTTCGCCAAACTGCAGCAGGTGGCCAGGTGGAAGCTGTTCACGGAGGCGCCTTCGTCCAACAAGGGCTGGAAGGAGCGCTGGTGCTATGTCAGGGTTGCTGAGAACCCATTTCCGGCAGAACTTCGGGATCGCTTCCGTCGGCATCCGAAGGTTGGAAGCGCTGCCCTCGAAAAAGACGGCCTGGTGATAGCCAAAATCCCGGAGGGTCGCACAAAGCAGGTCTCCATCAAAGACTATACTGCCGACAAGGGATTCTACGCCCTCGGCTTTCGGAGATACCGGTTTATTGGGGAAGCGGACGAGAAGTACCCCATTTTTGCTGAGGCCTTCGGGGGAACAGGAGGTAGTCTACGAGGTCCCTCGGTTTTCATACCTTAGCACATAGCTTATCTTGTTCGTGTTTTTTTTATTCTTTTTATTCTTTGTGCCTTCGGTCAGTAACCCCTCGATTTTGACCCCATACCTTTTTTTTTTGCAGGTGTCCCAGTGAAAATGATGAACGTCAGAGGCCTTGCAGACCTGAAGAAGAAAAAACCCTCCAAGGGCCCGAGGGGGACGGACGCCGGTGTCCCAAAACCCGCCGGTGACTTCTTCAAAAAACCGGAGGGGCCGTCGGTTGGCCCAAGTGCTGATGCTGCCGCTGCCGCCAAAAGGAAGGGCTCGGGCAGAGATCCCGAGGGCAAGAAGCCCAAGACGGGGGATGCCGGGAAGAAAGTCCCCCCGGTGATCATTGTTGATGAAGGCCCTGCCTCCGGGGCGAATGAGGACACGCAGGTGGCGAAGGTGCCGCCGGGAGTTCAGGGGCCATCTTCCGAGGTCCTCATGGTTTCCCTCCCGGCTGGTACGGCCGTGATGAACGGTACGGCCGACCCGAGGGCGCTTCTGAGAGGCATCACCCTCGAGATTGACAGAGTAGCCCTCGGGGCTGATGAAGACGAAGCCCTCGAGGACAGGATCCTCCGGTCTTCCCTCACAGTAAGTCTTTTATGTTTATTCCTTTCTTTTCTACTTCGAGCTAAGAAACCATGTTTGGCCTCGCTTACCCCTCTGTTTTTGTAGACCTGCATTGCCCTCGGGGAGCAAGCCCGGCGGCTAGATGAGTGGCGCCTTCGCAAGGCCGAGCAGGAGGCCAAGATGCGGGAGCTCATCCGCCAGAATGCAGACGCTGTTCGACAGATGGCTATGCTGGAGGAGAGCCTTCGACAGATGACCCTGCGGGCGGAGGCCGCATATCGGGGTAGGGCAGAAGCCGAGAGGTCCGCAGTTGAGGCCTTGGAGAGAGCTGTCAAGGAAGCCGAGGCCGCGAAGGTGGAAGCCGTCGAGAGAGCCCGAGGGGACGCAATCTCGGGGTTCCTGGCAGGGGGGGTGGCGGTCCGAGGAGCACAAGCAATGGCTGTCCTCGGTCGTCGAGTCCTCGGTCGACGAGTGGTGTGATGGGCCTGGCGTGGAGTGGGTTTCCCGAAAGGGTAAACAATACTATGATGGGGGCGAGTTTTTCACTCAAGCCCTCATCTACCGGAGGATGGCTCGCCACTTAAAGATCGAGCCAAAAGACTTTGACCCGACAACATACGGGCTCCCCCTGCAACCAGACATCCGCGTTCCTCTTCCCCCCGATGTCGAGAGGCCGGACCTAGAGGACTCTGAGCTCATGAAGGAAGCCGAGGGCGACGAACCTGAGGCCGACGCAGAAGTCACCTCGAAGCCATCGGGGGAGGCGGCCCCCGGGAATGACATGATTTGATATGTATTTTGTATTATGTAAACATGTATTTGTAATGGTGACATTATCCTTCGGCTTCGGCCTGCTTGTAACATTTATTCGCATTACATTTGCCCTCTGTTTGTTGATGATTGAATGATTGCCTCCGGGCTGTGTTTATATGATTTGTTTTCTCCAATTCCTTTCTTCTTGAATGCATGCCTTCGTTTTTGTTTTGGATGCATGTCTTTGCTCCTTTGAATGTATGTTTTAGGACTTAGAATATTATCTGATTGTAGCTAGCCCTTGGGAGCCTTCGGTAGTTGGGCATCCTCTGCTGGACATACGACCGAGGGTTCAGCAGGAATTGGGACTTAGAAATTTTTTCTAAGTGTAGCACAGCATGAGGCCTTCGGGCGTTTGTAGTAACCCAAATCCTAGGACTTAGAAAAATTTCTAAGTGTAGATTTCCCCTTGAGCCTTCGGGATATGGCATCCCTTCCTGATGTGTGAATGTTGGACCGAGGGCCCAATGCACAGGACTTAGAGATTTTTTGCAAGTGTAGTATGTCATGTAGCCTTCGGCTACTGTGGAGCCCCAACTGAAATATTGAATAGACCGGGGGCCAATTCTTTAGGACTTAGAAAATTTTCTTGAGTGTTGATTCCTTGTGTACTGTAGCCCTCGATTGATAGGTAGCCTTCGGCAATTAGGTCCCTTGAGATGAGGGTGAAATATGTAGGACTTAGAAAATCTTCTAAGTGTAGAGTTTCCCTTGGGAGCCTTCGGGAGGTGGCATCCCTCCATGATGTATGAGTAGCTGACCGGGGGGGGGGGGATATGCAGGACTTAGAAAATATTCTAAGTGTAAAATCTCCCTTGGGAGCCTTCGGGAGATGGCATCCCTCCTTGATGTATGAGTAGTTGACCGGGGAAAAGCATGTAGGACTTAGAAAATATTCTAAGTGTAAAATCTCCCTTGGGAGCCTTCGGGAGATGGCATCCCTCCTTGATGTATGAGTAGTTGACCGGGGGGAAAATATGTGGGACTTAGAAAATCTTCTAAGTGTAGATTTTCCCTTGGGAGCCTTCGGGTGATAGGTGCCCTCTGACTCCACATCACTTTGCGAGATGCCCGGGGGCTGCTCCTTCAGGACTTAGAATTTTTTCTAAGCATAAATTGATGTTGAATCCTGTTGTTGTGAAGAAAACCAATGAGGAGTGTGTGCCCTCGGCATACACTTTAAAAGTTGTAGAATTTGACCCTTGTCATGGGGAAAGGGCCCTCGGTATTTGTGCATAACAGATGCCTTCGGTGTTTGTTTGAAGTACCGTTTAGTGGACCTTGGATAGTCCAGTCCCTTTGTATTGTTGAAGCCTTCGGTGTTTTTGTGACCGGAGGTGACCAGGTAGTGGACTTAGCCGTTTCCTGATGATATTTCTATGAGTAGTATCCTCCGGGAAATAGGAGTCTTCAATTACCGGAGGTGTTCCCGTGGGGAGCCCTCGGCATGTTGTGATCTTGTTGGAGTGTACTCTTTGATTTCTCGCTGAGTCTACTCCCCTTCACCCCCTCTTTTTTTTTTTGGTTGGTGGTGAAGGGAAGGCATCAAGAAACTTGGTTTCTTGGTAAGGCTGGGCCTATTAGGAGACCATCAGAATACACCAATGGCTCTCCTCCCTCGGGTTAACCTTCCGAGTTCCGAGGGGATCGAGGGACGTTTCCTGGGCACAAGATATGGTGGTCCGTAACCTGCCTCCCCTTGGGGGATGGCGCGGAAAGCGCCTCATTTTTTAAAGTCGTCCCCTCGGCGCTAGACATAGTCCGTGGCCTGCCACACCCTTGGGGTGGTGGCGCGGGGAGCGTTTCGGTTTGGAAGTCGAATCCTGGGCATTTCTCATGCCTGTCATACCCTGGGGATAGTGACGCGGATAGCGTTCCGTTTTTGAAAGTCGAATCCTGGGCATTTCTCATGCCTGTCATACCCTGGGGGTAGTGACGCGGAAAGCGTTTCAAGGAAGGGTTTTCATTTGCACACTAGTTGCAAATGGCCGGGGGCACTACGTGCCGCCGGCACCGATGGTGGCGCCTTCGGTATATGCATCCTCTTGGGGTACGGCTTTTAGAAACAACACTTGGTGTTAGTTTCGATGTGTAGCCCCCGGTACTTGGTACCGAGGGGTCTTCTGTAGGAACACTTGGTGTTCTCTTTGTTGTAGTCGATGGAGGTGTCTACCCTCGGTACCTGGTACCGAAGGGTCTTCAAATGAAACACTTGGTGTTTCCCAACAGATGTTTGGAAGTTGATAGGAGAGCATATCCCTGGCACTGGGTGCCGATGGGTCTTCTTTGAAACATTTGGTGTTTTTCCTTCGTTTCGATGTTTGATGATGGAGGTGTCCCTCGGCACTGGGTGCCGAAGGGTCTTCTGTAGGAACACTTGGTGTTCTCATCTTTTCTTTTTTGATGTTGAAGGTGGGAATGTACCCTCGGCACTGGGTGCCGAAGGGGAATGAATTACATGGCGTTCTTTGTTGTTGGTGACATGAGTTGTCTCCCTCGGTACTTGGTACCAAGGGGTCTTGAGAGAAAAACCCGTGGTGTTTTCACTGTTGTTGCAGGTGTTGATGGTGTCCGCCCTCGGCACTCGGTGCCGGAGGGGGTTCTTCTCGTGGTGAGGCCTGGGGCCTGTAGTCAGTATGGGGGGATGATGTCTTGAATGTATCTTCATTCTTCGAAATTGGAGGCCTTGGGCCATAGGAAAGTACATTCACTAGTTATGAGGGCTTGGCCGCTCTTACATTACTCATAAAACTTAACTAAATGGTGTACATTCCAGTGCCTAGGGACTTCTTTCCCATTGGGGCGTTTGAGCTTGTAGGTCCCGGGTTTGATGATGGCTGCTATGATGTAGGGGCCTTCGAATTTTGGTGCCATTTTTCCTCCCTCGGTTGGTTGGCTGGCTTCCCTCCTCCGGAGGACATAGTCCCCCACTTGAAATTCTCGGGTGCGAACTTTGGCGTCGATGTAGCTTTTAACTTGCCTTCGGTAGTTTTCTGCCCGGATGAAGGCCTGCTCCCGGCGTTCTGAAATGAGGTGGAGGTCGAGGGCCATGTTGCTGTCGTTGACCTCGGGGTCATATTGGATCACCCTTCGGGTGGGAAGGGTGACTTCCGTAGGAGCTTTGGCTTCAAAACCGTAGCAGAGGGAGAAGGGTGTTTCACATGTTGCTCGCCGAGGGGTGGTGCGATAGGCCCAAAGGATGTTGTGGAGCTCCTCCACCCAGCCACCACCCTCGGCCTCCAGCTTCTTTTTGAGGCCCTCGAGCAAGGTCCGGTTGGCGTTCTCTACTTGCTCGTTGCCTTGAGGGTAGGCAACGGAGAAGAAGGTGTGTTTGATGCCCCATGCCTCCAGAAGGGCACAGAAGGGGGCTGCCTCAAATTGTGTCCCATTGTCGGAGATGATCTGCTGGGGGACGCCAAACCTTGTGAGGATGTTCTTGAGGACGAAGTGATGGCACTTCGCCTCTGTGATGCTGGCGAGGGGTTCAGCCTCCACCCACTTGGTAAAGTAGTCGACGGCCACGATGATGTATCTGTTGTTTGAGGTACCCCTCGGCAGAGGGCCCACAAGGTCTATCTCCCATCGAGAAAAGGGGACAGAGGTGCTGATGGGGGCATAGTTGACCGCTGGCCTGCCGGGAGCTTTCTGGAAATGTTGACATGCGGTGCACCTCCGGGCAAGGTCAGCACAATCCCTGGCCATGGTTGGCCAGAAGTAGCCCTGGAGAATGAGCCTTCGGGACATGGAGAAGGGTCCTTGGTGAGCTGAGCAAGTGCCACTGTGCACTTCCTCCATTGCGACCTCGGCTTCATCTGGATGAAGGCACCGAAGTAGCGTGCCATTGTAAGATCGTTTGTAGAGCCTTCCATCTTCGATGGTGTAGCTGGGAGCCCTCAGCTTTGTCAGTTTAGCGCGGGCCTCATTCTCGGGTAGCTGCCCTGTGGAGATGAAGGCGGTGATATCTGAGATCCAATCCTCCTGACGTTGTTGTATGTTCATAACGGGGCTTGCATGGATGCTTGAGAGGCTGAGTTCCTCGATTTTGGCAATTTTGGAGATGTGCTCGGGGGAGTCGGCCGAGAGCTTAGATAATATGTCGGCCTCGGAGTTCTGAGCCCTCGGTATTTGAGTGAGAGAGTGTGCCTCAAATACCTTAAGCAACTCCTTGGCCGCTTCCTTGTACTGTTTCATTCTCCCCTCCTTGGCCTCATATTCTTCGGAGATTTTGCCAACGACCAACTTGGAGTCGCATTTGATGTGGATCTGCCGAGCCCTCATGTTGGCGGCCAGCCGAAGGCCACATAGGAGGGCCTCATATTCGGCCTCATTGTTGGAGACTTTGAAGGAGAAGCGGATTGCATAGTAGGCCCTGAAGCCCTCGGGAGTAATGAGGACTACCCCTCCCCCGCATGCTTTGGTCGCGGAGGAGCCGTCAGTGTAGAGGGTCCACCAGTCGTCCGAGGTAGCCGAGGGCTCCCCGTCCGTGGCTGCCCTTGCGGTACATTCCGTCACAAAGTCCGCCAGGGCTTGGCCCTTGATGGCAGGCCTTGAACGGATGTCAATGTTGTACTGGCTCAAGAAGATAGCCCATTTAACCATGCGGGAGGAGCTGGTGGGGCTCCTCATGAGGGCGCCGAGCGGTTGATGAGTGAGGACCTGAACTGGGTGAGCCTGAAAGTAGTGGCCCAACTTCTTGACAGTCCAAACGATGGCCAACACCGTTTTTTCCACAGGGGAGTACCTGAGCTCGGCCTCCCTTAGGGTCTTGCTAACATAGAAGATGGCATGTTGGATGCCGTCTTCCTCCCGGATGAGCACAGAGCTGATGGCCGCCGGGCTAACCCCAAGGTAGAGGTAGAGGGTCTCCCCTAC